AAGAATTATAGGATAGTATCAAAAGACCAAATATAAGAATTATTGGGATAGAGGAAGGCACAGAGCTTCAAACCAAAGGAATGCACAATCTCTTCAATGAGATAATATCAGAAAACTTTACAAACATGAAGAATGAATTTGAAAATCAAATACAACAGGTTTATAGGACACCAAATGTTCAAAATTACAACAGATCTACACCAAGGCACATTATAATGAAAATGCCTAGCATACAGAATAAGGATAGAATCCTAAAGGCCACAAAAGAGAGGAATCAGATCACATATAAGAGGAGACACATTAATATCTCAGCAGATGTTTTCAACCCAGACCCTCAAAGCCAGGAGATCCTGGAACAATATATACCAAGCTCTGAAGGAAAATGGATACCAACGAAGAATCTTATATGATATGTTTCTCTCTTATGTGGAAGTTACAGAGGAAAACCAAAAGAAAGGGATGGAAGGTCTCATGAAAATGGAAGAGAGGTGAGTAGAGTAGAGGAGATATCAGGGGGAGGGAGGAAGAGATGGAAAGGGGAAACACTTCGGATTGATAGTAGACAATTACATGAATATGTAACAACACATTCCACCCTTATGTACAACTATCATGTACCATTAAAAATATAGAAAACAAAAAATGGACAAAGCGCCAGGCACTATGGTACATGCCTGTAATCCCTGCTACTTAAGAAACTGAGGCAGGAGCATTCCCTGAATCAAAGAGTTTTAGGCCAGCCTGAGAAACATAGCAAACACATTTCCAAAAGTATCACATACTTTTCAAAAACTAAAATAAGCACACCCATTTCATAATACACTGTGGCAAACACACAAAGTATACTAATCAGTCTTAACAACAACAAAAAGAAATTAGGGCTAAGGATGGAGCTCAGGGACATAGGGATTTCCTAGCAGACACAGACCCTGAGATTAGTACCTACTGTATTTATTTTAAAAAAGGGCGGAACCCTAAAAACCAGGAAATTGTGTCATTTATGACAATATAGATAAACCTGAGGGCATTAGTGAGAATAAAACAGACACATAAATGATCTCACTTTTATGTAGAAACTGGAGCAAGCAGAAGGAATGCTGGTTAGGACCAGTAGAGAGTAGACAGAAGAGGGGAGACACTGCTCAAAAGGTACAAAATTTCAAGATGGAATGGCTCCTGTGTCATTCTATAGCACAGCAAGATAACTACATTACATAATAATATAGTGTATGTTGCAAAATAGCTAAATGAGAGGATTTTGAATGATCTGATCACAAGGAAATGATAAATATTTGAGCTGATCAATATGCTAATCATTCTGATTTGATCATTATAAAATGTGTACATGTATCAGAACATCAAAATTATATGCAACTATGTGTTAACAAAAATAAATAAATAAAACAGTTAACAAAAATCTTAAAAAAAAAAAAAAAAAGCTAAGTTTGGGCCTGGGAAGGGGCAGTAGTGTTGTCTACAGCAGCATTGGGTACAGCTCCTTGTAGGTAATGACTCATGGAAGGAGGAAGGACCTGCAGTGAGGAGGGAGGTGAGATAGGGGCAGACCTCCCAAAAATAGATCAGAGAACTTCAAGCAGGAGGGGAGAGCAGGGAGGGGGAGGGCAACAGGTAAGACAGGGTGGGGTGTGTGAGACAGGCAGCTGAGGAGGTTGGAGAGAGCTGGTGTGAACACTGGAGTTCATATTAGTGTAAAGGGGCTGCAGGAGGGAAAAGACCCTCCCTTGCCCAGGCAGCAGGAGGCCAGGGGACCTTGATGGTGGAGATGAGAGAAGTCACAGGAAGAATCTCTTGGCCCAGAAGTCCTCATCTTCCAACCTCCCTCAGTCTGTGTGGGGAAGCCACAATGCCCTCAGCGACAGAAAAGCAGTGGGTGGCTGGGAGGCCCCTATCAGCTCCTGGCAGAAAGAAAGGCAGACCCCTAACTCCAGATACTGAGCACTCCAGTGAGAACACACTGCTGACTCCGGGAAGACGACAGGTGGGGGAGAGGGGCTGGAAACTGTCTCCATCACTGCTAACAAGTGGCCCCATGAAAGGCAGACCTCCAGGGGTACTTGAATATCTCTCTAAGTGCAAACTAGATGGCAGACCCGGGCTCTGGGCATCCTAAAAACCAGAATGTTGGAAAAGAAAGAGCAAGGCTCAGAGGGGAGGGAGGGAAGCAAAGTGCAGCACAGATCCAGATGCTGGAGATGGTGGCGGGATGCGCCCTGAAAAGCGGCCTTGAAGTTTTGTGGCAAGTGGACCGGGTCCAGCCCCGCACCCACTGCACACCTGCAGAGCCAGGCAGGAGGGGTAGAGGCTCCCTGGAAGCTGCCGCCCACCTGGATTTGCCAGACTTTTCTAAAGACTCACAATGAGTGCACTCACCAGCGGCGGCACCCAGAGATGCAAAAATTGCGGAGCCAGCCAGGAGCAGCATGACAGGGTTCTGACCCATAGCGCGTTTGCCTCCCTCCTAGATCTTAGAGAGTATAGCGTCTTTGGGGTTTTGCTCAATGAGCACACACCCAAGGACAGCCATCAGAAGTCTGACTCAGACTCAAGACCAATCACTAGAGAGAGCTGACTGGGAGGCGGAGACTGAAGCAGGCCAGGCTGCAAAGCATGGAAGGAACCTTTGGGTACAGGCATGACTGCCAAGTCTACTCCACCTACACAGAGAAGCAGCCTGTCCCCTCTGGGCCAGGTGTGTAGCTGAAGGCCAGGCTTCACTGGGGGTGACAGTGAACCTCAGCCCTGTCAAGACAGCCAGGTTCTCCAGCCCAACAAGGATCCAAAGATAATTCACAGATATGAAAAGGGAAGGCTCAAAGCATTGGGAATAGAGATTAGAAACAGACTTCAAACTATGTTCATTGTGGTTTTTTTTTTTTTTTTTGGTTTTTTTTGTTTTGTTTTATTTTGTTTTGGTGGTTGTTGTTGTTACTTTGTTTACTGGATCTCTTGTTCTTATTAAATAAGTGTCATTTGTGAGATTAAAATTCTAAAATATTTTTTTAAATCTCTGTTGAAGATTCTGTTCACTCCAAATACACTACAGGATTATTTGGTCTGTTTTTATGTAATGTTTCAATATAGATAAGCTTAAGTACTCTGTCCTTCATAGTAATAAAATCTTAATCTTTAAACTTGAAAATAAAACATGAATATTTGTATTGCAGAAACTCTTGATTTTACAAAATTTCAAATTTCTCCAGTAAATATTTGAATTTCTTTTTTTTTTAGAAATAACTCTTTATATGTTTGCATATTTCAGTGTATATATACAGATAATGCTGTTTGATAATTTGTATTACTCATTATCTAAATAATAGTTTTGGGATCATTTGTGATATTGAGAGCACAATAAAGTTCATAGCTTGAGGGGAAAAAAAAAGACCAATAAGGAACAGAGAGGGAGGAGCTACACTTAAATGGAAATTCCCTAAAGCACAGATCAAAGGCTAAACTATTCCAAAGACACTGGGAAATATTCACTGGGTTGTACCAGCCTCAATGTCCAGAAAAGTGCCTGCGATTTAGGATTCCCCAGGTAGATTAGACGCACAAATAAGCACCTAGATGAATGCTGTAAGGTCAGATTCTGAGCAAGCCAGCACCTGCCCATGGGAACTAAGGCCCCCACCAGTGGCTTTTTATGATACATATAGGACACTGAAAGCCAACACAATCCATGCCTATAGAAACAGTCAACTGTCCATGGATGAATATGTTAGCACAATGCTTTGAGAAGCAATTCAACAATATATATATATCCTTATCATTTATCTTATTCCTATTCAACAAATTCTTCATCTTAAAACAAAAACCACAAATATAGAAGAATTTTTAGATATTAGATGGTATAATCAGGCATTATTTACAATAACGGGAAAAAAGATACAAAAGAGGGCTGGGGATATAACTCTACGGTAGGGCATGTGTTTAGCATTATCCAGGCCCTGGCTTCAACCTCTACAACCACAAACAAAGCAAAACAAAACCAACAAAAAGAAAAAATAGAGATACAGAAGAGGACTGCTTATGTTCTTTAAAATAATGAAATAGTGTACAGCTGGCACAAACAGTGTTGAAGAAGTGTTTGGAATCTCAGACAAAGTTGCTGATCAATTATAATAAGTTTCCAAATACAAGATTTAAAATAACTCATCATGAAATATTGTGGCTGTGTAGTTTTGTGTGCGCACCCAGATAGAATTGACTGGGTAGACAGCAGGGTCTCTGGGCAGCACAGCCCCAGAGACCCCCTTCACACCCAAGCCCAACTCATCTGCCAGGTTAAGCAGGATCCTCCAGTGGAAACAAAAGGTGGTTTTACACCTTTCTGTTTTGTGTATTTTAAAATATTGTCTTGTTTAATCAATTTTTATTTTCTTATAGAATAAAATACATACAATGAAACAAAGCTTTAATGAAAAATCCACCAGGAGGCCTGGGGCCTCTTCTCCCTGCTGTGTCATTGGTCTAAACAGCTTTTGAAAGCCTTTGACTCTTTCTTTTTCTTTTCTTTTTTTCCCTCCATCTTTTCTTTTCATTGGACCCTGTTCCCACTATGTTGTTCACCTATCCTCAAACTCCTAGGCTCAAGTGATTCACCTCAGCCTCCCCAGGTGCTGGGACTACGGGCCAGCACCACCGTACCTGGCTTCAGCCTGTTTTCTATTGAGGGTTTCAGGCATTTCACAGCCCTCCAAGTTGTTTACATAAACTTAAAAATTAAATTAAAACATGCAGATAAAAGTTCTCTATTCACAATTCAATGTTAGTTTCTGCACTTGAAACCACTCCCAGCCCAGACACAGATCAGAAGCCTTTCTCCATCTTTTTCTGGACACTGTCTTTCCTTCACCCAAGTAGTTGCCTTCCTGTCTTAAAATGCCATAAATTACTTTGGTCTGTTTTTAAAAATTTATGCACATTGAATCACAGAGAATCCACTCTTTTGTGTCTGGTTTGAAGTCAAATACAATAGAATGACAAATCTCAAGCAACAGGTTTTATTTGGGAATCAGCACAGAATAGAATTGACCTTTTAGACACATGCAGACCATGCTGGTGTCTTGTTTTTTGGAAAATCAAAGAACACACTTGAGGATTTTGGGGGTAAGTTACATAAATCATGTGAAGGAAAGTTCCTGGGCACATGTGGCACTACATAGGGGCTGGTGAGCTCTGATAGGCAGGTGGCTGTAGCATTGGCAGATACCAGGTAAACTTGTTACCCTAACATACCAGGCTGCTTCCTTGGATTGGATTTGCAAAAGAGAGCATCAGGCAAGTGTTCCATAAACTACTAGCTGTCCTTGTGCTAATTGCTGTGCTTGTATATCTGCAGTCACAAGCTGCAGATTAGAAAAATCTCTTGTGATAATCTCTGTTGTCAGACAAATCACTTGTGAGAGCCTTCATTCTATGGGCTTCTCCAAATCCATTTGCTGGGCTTGAGATAAGTGATTCCATACACCCTTATTTTGCTCAAATTTGTTTGTTTTGGTGAGGTCATCCACTTTTTTTGCTATAACAATAGTTCATTCATTTTCATTCTGTAAAACTGTATTCTCCAATGTTAAATTTCTCTACCAGTGAAATCTTCTGAAAATCCCACTCTGCTTCCCAGGCTCCCAGCTACCAGCCTGAACTTGACATACACTTTGAAGCAGAGAGTTGTCAAATGTAGTGCTCACATACCTGGGATTTTCCTCTGTCTAAACTCTGGTCTCAGAGGCTTCATTGCCTTGATCACTCTCCAGTGCCTTCACATGGATATTTTTACCTACTGACCGATTCACCATTGTTCCTGGGGGGATGGGTTGGTTTGAAACAGGCTGATCTGTCATCTTTGGAAGTGGAATCCTGCCAGATAGACTAAGAATTTCTGAATCTTTACACTCTAGTTATCTTGAATGATTTTTGAGTAGAGGGAGGGAAACATGCATGAATTAACACAGAGATTCAATCCAGAAAGAAAGGAAGGATCTCCCAGAAGACCAGAACTGACCACAAATGCAGCTCCTTCTTCTCATTGGTGAACAAGAAACAAGACAAGAAAATGTTTAATTACTAGATTAGGACAGCCACAAGTTAATGAGGATTACTCTTTCTTGGTGTCAATGACCTAAAAATGAATGAAACACATACACCCTGGCCACAGTTAAATTTGTGATATTGTTGAGTATATACGTTTTACTTACAGAAGGTGTGTGTGTGTGTGTGTGTGTGTGTGTGTGTGTGTGTGCATTTAGAGTTTCCTTGAGAGAGAAAGAGAGAGGAGAGAACATGCAACAGGTGCTGGGGACAATATCTATCCTTCAATGATACACTCCCACATACTCACCTACTTCCTTCAACTAGGTCCCAAGTCCCAGATCCTAGAATTTCCACCACCTCCCCAAAGTGCTGTCAGCTGGAGACCAAGCCTTTAAACACATGAGTTTTGGGGGGCCATTTAAGATTCAAACCATAACACCCTAATACATCCAAAACGTATTACATCCGTTCTGCATAGAACAGATCCTTCATCCTAAAATTTTCTTTTGAATCTTATTTATCACTCTCCTATCCAACTCTTGATAACAATCTAAATCTGTTTTCTGTTCATGTAGATTTTCTTCTTCCAGAATGACATATGAATATAGTCAGACAGCATGTGCTTCTCAAACTCATCTTCACTTTGAGTCACCTGGGATAGCCTTAAATAGCCCCAGGCCAGGATCACAAATTATATCCTTCAATCTCATTCACCAGAAAAGTAATTCAAGTACCAATCCTGTCTGTGAAACTCTCCAGGGATTCCAATGAGCAACCAATGGAAGAAGCAGTGGCTCAGAGCAGAGAGTCTCACTGTTGGGTGTGAATCAAAACCAGCTAGAAATTGAAGCAAACTCTAGAGCCAGGAAATATCCTAGTCTGCTGTGCAGATACCTCAGATAAATTGTAGAGGGAGGCATCTACAGTGGCTCAGAGAAATGGGAATGTGGTATGTAAAGATTACATATAACCTGCTCAACTCTCTCCTCACCATATCTCCTCCTCAGAGTGCTGGGAGGACACTCTCCTCATCAAGGAGTTTATGTGCCTCTTGACACATGTAGGTGTAAGAACTGCTAAGTATTCTGGGTAATCTCATGTCTTCTGAACTCTTACCCAGTTCCAACCAAAGCCAAATTATATGTCAGATGCCATCCTTTGACTAGAAGGTTAGGTGCCTTTAAGAAAGATCCCTATAATGCATTCCAAGGTATATTCTTCTTAATGAGATTTTGCTGAAGGACATTTAGTCATTACCATTGTCCACTAGGAATGGAAAATGTCCAAATGATCTGGAATCTCAAATTTAATATCTTTAATTTTATCCCATTTCCCTTAGAGTAAATGTTTTATTGTAACTTGGATGAAAAACATTTCCCTTTGCTAAGGTAGTGAAGGTAGTCTACCATGTTAATTAATATTTTGGAAGAGATGAGTACAATTCCATTTTTTCCATACGGGTAACCAATTGCACTAAAATCATTTCTTTAAAATTTGTTCTTTACCCATCAATCTCTAATGTTATCAGTATTATATATCAACACTCTAAAGCCAGGAAATATCTTAGTCTGCTGTGTAGATATCTCAGATATCACTATTTTACATATAGTGCCAGTTTGTATTCTCTTTCTCTCTCTCTCTCTCTGATACACACTGTAGTCTCATAATATCTTCATGTGTATTGTTTGGTTTGTGTCTTTCTACCCACAAATCTATTTGTCTATCTCTGTATCAACACCCTACTCTCTGCTTATGATAACTGCAATGTAAGTCTTGATATCTACTAAGAGAATACAGTCCCTTATTCTTCTTGTTTAAAGGTGTCTTGGCTATTATTCATGTATATTTCTATAAAAGGCTTAGAATCCCCCAACCAAGTGCCACACAATGCCTAGTGGATATTTGATTGAGGTTGATTAGAATTATTGAAACATTTTTGGAAATTAATGCCATTGAAATATTGAATCACAAGCCAGAATCTTGGCAATTGTCTTCAGTTAGTTAACTGTCTACTCTAATTACTGAATAAGTTTATTAAAATATACCCCATTTGCTATTTGGAGGAAAAATTGTAGATTTCATTCTAGAAGTGTATAAAATGTATTCTTACTATGTCAATGATTTCTTGTTAAATTTATACTCTGTTCACTTCTGGAATATAAAACATTGAAATAGATATATTAATCTAGCAACCATAGGAAACTATGTTATTAATTCCAAGAATTTATAATAATTTGGGACTTTATGAATTCAACATATTATTATTTGCAAATTATGAGAGTTCAATATCTCTGTTCAAACCCTTCTATATTATTTATTTTCTCCCTTGAAAACATTGAGGAGGTTCTCAATTATAATGCTTAACAAGAGTGCTGGGGGCTGCGGTTGTGGCTTAGTGGTGGAGTGCTTGCCCAGCACGTGTAAGGCCCTAGGTTTGATTCTCAGCACCACATATAAATAAGTAGAGAGATAGATAGATAGATAAAAATAAAGATCTTGATAACTTAAAACAATTAAAAGAAAAAAAAAATTAAAATAAGAGTGGTGGGAAATAACACCTTAATGTACTTTTTGCTATTCAGATTCTCTAGATCACATATGTTAAAATACAACTGTAACCCATAGAAGAATTGGCTGATAGAATCTTAAGGGATAGCCTTTTGGGCCCATCCCAACACAAGGGATCGCTGTTGCCCCCTATGTCCCTTTTGTACCCTTTAACTGTAGCCTTTGCCCTCCAGCCCTGAGAGGCTCCCAGGCACTGGCCCAGCCAGAAGACACCACCAGCACAAAAGCTCAGTGCACTTAACTTCCTATTCTAGATTTCTGCCTTCTGGTTCCAGGCCTAGTAAACTTTCAGTGCTTTCTTAGCTCATCTACCCCTTCAGCCATATTTTTCAAGTAGGTGCTCTTGCCCTCAGTTTTTCAGTTGTATTCCATGGGAGGGATGGTCCAAATTAATTGGCAGCTGGAAACCAAAGTACAGAGTATAATTTTATATCTTACCATCACTTATCAAGGAAGAAAACCATAAGCACCAATAATGGCCATTTAAGCAAGTATAACTTAGATATAATAAAAACAAAAAGTTCCATAGCATCTCTATATGCCATGATTAAAATGTATATCAATAAATGATGACTTGAAAATTGCATATTTAACATGTGACTATGATCCTGATTAGCAAACATGAGAGTAAAGGGAATAGATCTGAATATTAAATTGAAAAACACATGCACAGTAAGTGGTTGGAAATTGGAATAGTTGAGTGGCAGTGTGAAGAGGGCTTGTGCTAAGAGTGCAGGAGCCACAGAGGTGGCCTATGTTACACAGGGGCATGAACACTGTGTGGGCAGTAGGTGTCTCTGACATTCTGGAGAGACCCTTGCATCTTGGAGTTAGAACACCAGAATAACACACTTGCTAAAAAGGAAGGAAGTAATCTGATCACAGCAGGGCTCACTGTCTTAGTCACTGTACAATGTAAACTACACAAGAGAGCTCAGGATATGTGCATGCTGTTCACATTAGGCTATAAAAGAGGAAAAGGTCTTCCTTGGAGGCTGTAGTAGAATTTTTGTGTCCTTGCTATCTTCAAATTCTTGCTGAGCAATTTCTGAGAAAGGAAAGTTCAAGATGCCCTGTGGGACTTCCTCCCAGCTCACCTCATCTCTGCCAGGCTACAGAGCAGCTGTGCTTAAAGGTTTTGAAACATTGGCACCAATGCCCCAGATGTTATAAAGAACACTGGAAAATTACTCAGAACTTGAATCCAGCATGCTCATGCAGCAACTGCAAAATGCCACAGATTCTGGCTCTCATCATTGTATATGTTAGATGAATATAGGTAAGTTAAATAGTGGAACTTAGGGTTTCTTGAGGCAAAGCTGGGAATCAAACACAGGCCTCACATGTGCTAGGCAAGTTCTCTACTACTGAGATCTATCACTAGCCTAATAGTGGCATTTTTAATCCAGATATTTCAAGGAAATCAAACAAAATTTTATGACATTAGTACACCAATACAGAGGCATAGCAACAAGTGAAGCACTCTCAGTGCTCAGATAATGAGATCATTACTGGACTTGGATACCCAGAGATAAATTCACAGGAATCAGAGGGGTTTTATTTTTATTGTGATAATGGCAAAGTCTTTGGAAAATAATATTTTGCAATATATCATGGTAATAATAAATTTATTAATCATAAAAACTATGATAACTCTTGTTTTCATGTCAGTCACAAATTAGAGTTGGTTTACTCTATTCCCTGCTCTGTGTTCTCTTTGCTTTGAGTAAACACCTCAGCTGGTCACGGTTCTTCACCTACTGGGTGACAAACTTGCCCCAGTCCTGTAAGTTATTACCACCTATTTGGCACTATAATGACTTAGTCAAAAGGCCCTTCCACCAGCTTACCAAGTTTAACTGCTTCAGCATGGTACAGAGTGCTGTTAGGGAAGGCAAATCCATTTATGGACCACCTATCTATATTCCACTAAGAAGAAAAGACCTTATATACATTCCCCAGTCCCAAGTCAATCAATGTGTTTCCACATCATTGAGAAGGAGGGAAAGTGCTGCTCAGAGCAGGGCTGCACAGGCTAAGCTCCCTGAGATGCCTTAGGAGCTCTCAGCAGAGGCTGACACCCCAGCTGTGTGGATCCAGTGTGGTCACTTGGTGGTCTTTGCAGCCCATCCAGGTCTTTTTTTTTTTTTTTTTTTAACAATAATCTGTCATTTATTTTGTTTACATATTAAAACACTCTGATGCATTTAGTGCATTTAGTACATGATGGGTTTTTTTGAACCATACATTTTGAGGATTAAGATTTATAATTTCTGTTGTCTCTGTCATAGTTCATGGTCACAAAAAATGACTTATTTTGCTAAACATCATCCCCAGGATTTTATAATCACTTTGTTTCATCTATAATTGGCAATGAAAATAGTTTTTCTAAGTAAATGCACTTTCAATTTCAAAATATTTACTAATATCATTATAACAAATGAATTCTAAATCAAAGATCTCCAAGGAATCTTAAGTACTCATGTGTTTGAGACTCTTTTCAGAACCATCCAGGTCTTGTAGACTCATTTGCTCTGGGGAAGAAGGAGAACCAGTCAGTGTTCAATTGGTGGCAGAACATTGCTCTTTATTCCCTTACACCTCTCTCTCCTCAGTTCCTCAAAAACCAGACTTGGCCATTCTCCGAGGGAAGTAAATATCCTGACTTTTTTTCTCTCTCATCCCATTTTCCTGCCTTATCAGGCTCCTCTGTGTGTCTATCGGCAACATCACCAGTCTTTGTTTCCACCATGGAAGAGAGTGAAAGGGCTTCAGGATTCAGATTCTAGATCTGGAAGTGAGACCCAGTGCCCCCTCCTCCACAGACAGTAGGAGCCTCCCAGAGAGGGCAGCTCCTGGTTCTGCCAGGCTGGACAGGGGCTCACTCACACAGAGCCCTTCTTCCCCTTAGTTCCCAAACCTCCTCCCATGTACAGGCAGGTGGTCACCCAACAGGGCTTCCCCACTTGCAGCTCAGCATCCCTCCCTCCCAGCTGTGAGCCAGCAGCTCTTAACTGGACAGTCCACCAGGAAGCACAGGGGCACCAGCAGGCACAGCCTGGAAAAGCATGCCTGCCACATGATCTGCTGCTCCCCTGCCTACAACAGCCCATACAGAGGAGACTCAGAATCACTGACCCTCTGCACCTGCCCAGGCTCTCAATCTGCACTTTTGCTTCCTCCTACCTGCACGGTCTACCCACCCCTGAGAACCCAGCTCTTCCCCGTGGGTTCCTTTTTCCTAAGGCTGCCCTGAACTCCCTATGTCCATTCCTGGCATGAAATCCTGCAGGCCACAACTCTCCCAGCCCATAGGGGTCTTCTCCCCAAAGAAGATTAAAGGCCTTCCTGAGATCCTGCAGTATGGACTGCCAGCCCACCCTCTGCATCCTTAAATGGCCATGGCCACAATCCGGGTCTCCCACAGGGGGCACTCCTGTAGAGGGATCTCCAAGGGTGACATTTAGTGCACATTATCACATGGGCACTGGAGAACTGCCTTTCACACCATACAGCTGAAACTGGGAACGTCCTTACTGAGATTCAACATTTAAAGGAGGAATTTGCAGAAATAAGCAATAGGCCTTTCCCACTCTTCCCAGGTACTGCCCTAGTGACATTCCCCATTTCTGACCAGAGGAAAGTAGAACTAACATTCCCCTGCTGCACCTGTCAGAGAGGCCACAGGTGGGAGCAGCAGATGGCACACAGCTGCCTACCCTACTAGAGGAGTCACCTGCATGGGCCTCTGCTCTGGGGCAGTCTGCCCTATCTGTGGTAACCAACACTCCTAGGGGCTGCACTGGAAAATGGTAGATATAGGAAAAAACTGTAACTATAACTGCCCCAGAATGGGCTGGTCTCTCTCCCCAGATGGTCAAGGACATCAGCTATTCTACTGTCCATGTCATCTGCAAGGCCACTCTAGGAGGAAGACCTGTGTGGTGGGGATAGGGTAGAGACTGGGAGGCTCAGTGACCCTGAAGACACACTCAGGAGACAGCTTCTGAGGAAGGACTAGAGAAACTACCCACAGGGCAGAGGTGGTGGCCTGGGATGCAGAGCCATGGCCTGCTCTATACAGCCTCCAGGGACTGCACTGGTGGAGTGCTGGCCCTGTGGGTCTTTGATTATGTCAGCTGGAGAGACTGGGGGAGAGCAAGGCAGACAGGAAGGGACCAGAGGCATTACCTCTGTAGAATTCCTCTTCAGTTTCTAAGAATCCAAAGATCACAACTCATTGACTCTGTGTCGCCTTCAGGCCATGATAATCTAGTCCACACCAGCCACCATTCCCAGCCCAAACCCTGGTCAAGCCAGCAAAGTGTGAAAGAAAGAGACATGGACAGAGCAGGAGCCACAGCTACAGCCAGAAGAGGCCACAGCAGGACATTCAAGGATGTTACTGCCTGGCTTTTGGCAGGACTGAAGATTCTAACTGGAGACATGGCTCCCAACCCCCACAAATACACAGCCTTCCAACCCCTGTTCCTGGTCACCTCCAAGGCTCTCTGTGCAGCAGAAGGCATGAGGGGCCCTACATCCCAGGCAGGCCTTCACATCTACAGCCAATGACCACTTTTCTCACCTGAAGCCTCTGCAGCTGATGGCGTCTTGCTCTTCTTGCAGCAATAGACACAAACAGGAATCATAACTGTCATAATCAGAACAGCAACAGATAGGAAGATGGGCCATCCCTTCCAAAGTCCAACACCTGAAAACAGGATTGTTACACTCTAGGTACCAGAACTTCAAGGCTTCTCCCTTCTCACCACCCTGGTCACTGACCAACGTGGTTGGGAACCCCTACAGGGACCCCCAAGCTTACCACAGGACACAGGGACAGTGGTGTTCTTTCCAATGTGTACCACATGGCAGCTGAACCTCTGCTCCTGTCCTTGGGGAATCCTGGTGGACAGCCAGGTCTGGTAGGTCCCATTCCCATAGGGAAAAACATCCACAGAGTCCTGGGTGTCCTGACTCAGGAGTTCCGCATCTTGAAGCCAGGTCACAGAGATATTCTGGGGATAGAAGCCACAAGCCCAACATGTCACGTTGATGGTGTCCTCAGAGGTTTCACCACAGGTCATATTCACTGTTGGTGACACTGGAGAAGAAAGGGCAGAGCTACTCAGACATGGGACCAAACCTCATGTCCCTCTCAGGGAGGGAATAGGGCTGGTCTTCTCCAATCTCTGACTCTGGCCTAAGACCTCATTGACCCCAGACCTTCTACAAGTCTGTTCTCAGCCTGGAGCCTGAGTCATCTGACAGAAGGATGGGCTTCTGGCCTCACATTCTCACTCCACATGTTCATGTTGAGGAGAGGTTGTTACAGGGACTCTGGTATGTGAGGTCATCAGGGGTATTTTGGGGGACTCAGGGTTGTGGGGACAAGTGGGAGCTCTCTATGATAGCAGGCAGGCAGGCAGGTGGGGGCTCACTAGTGTCTGGCACATACACCCTCCTGACTCTATCTAGTGGTGTGACAGGACAGGCAAATCACAACACAAACTCACACAAGGTCTCCTGGGCAGAGGCTCCAGGGGAGAGGGAGGAGCCCTTCCAGGAGACTTGATAAGTCCGAAGTTTTCCACAAAGCTCTCCCTGCACTTGGGCCCAGATGTCCTTGCTTTGAATGCCATCTTCATCCCAGGAATTCTTGACTTCCATAGCCAAGGTCTGAGCTGAGGATGGCTCCACTCTCAAGCTGCGTGTCTCTGGGTGATAGGAGAGGAAGGGCTCCCCATCATAGTAGATCATCCAGAAGCTCCTGGTGCAGTTGTCCTCTTCAATCTTGCAGCCCCAAATCTCCTGAAGGGAATGAGACCCTGCCCCCACGCAACAGTCACTTCTCCATCCCCTGGCCCCTCTGCCTCCCTGCCCACCAAGTGAAAAATTCCAGCCCACAGAGGACCTCAACCTGGCTCTCCTCAGTGTCTCCTCACTGTCAATTGCAGTGAGAACAGACAGGTCCCTGCTCTTTGCCCCCAGCCTTCCTGGAGTAAGCTCATGTCACCCTTGCTCCCACCCACACTCACCTCCTCTCTGCTCCTGCTGGGCATTGATATCTGCCAGGGTTGCTTTTGCTTTCTTGATGTGCTCTTTCAACTCCTGGATCTCTATGTTCCACCTCTCATTTCCCAAGGGTTTTTCTGCCCATGGCCCTTGGGGTTTGGGGCTTTCTTTAGAGTCACTATCATAGTGAAGGAAGAGCTGATGGTCCCAATAACCATCAGCAAAGGACCTTGATTGCACTAATCCACCTTGGGACCTCACTGTGAGGTTATAGTGAAGACTGTGGTTCCCTGTGGAAGAGGAAGCAACAGATGACACCTCTTCCTGGAAACAACTTCTCATCAATGCTCACCACAAAGGCTCTGCTGTCCTGAGCACCCGAGGAGGCAGCAAACACACACAGACAAAGGGACAGAAGAAAGGTTCCCAATACAATGCAGATAGGAAAGTAAAGATGAAGGAGAGGGGAAGTGAGGGATGGAGAAAGGGGAAATGGAGAGGGGCAGGCATAGAAGCCAGGGCCCAAGACAGGGGAACAGGTTGCCTAAGTGTATAGGAGAGAGTTCAAGAGGAGAGGCTGGCCTGCAGGGGCAGGAGGAACAGGAGGTCCAGATGTGCACAGCAGGGAAGGCCCAGGAAGGGTGGAGGGAGGGTGGACCCATGGTCACACATGTGCAGGGGATAGGGCAGGGGGGCAGGGGGCTGAAATAGGGGTGCTGCCTCTCTGCAGACTTCTCATGGATAAGGTGGGACAGGCAGGTTGGGGCAGTGTAAGGGAGGGTTGTGGCCCCAAAAGTATTGAGCAGGGTTGTACCATAAAGGGATGTAAAGCAATAGGTGGGTCCAACTCAAAAGATCAAACATCTGGAGGCCCTAGGTAGGGGAGGTAAATGGTCCTATTAGCATCTCCTGAGAAAAGGCAGCTGGCAGTGTTTTCAAAGATCTGATGTATCTTTTCAATAGATAATGCTGGAAAAATTGGATTTCCACTCACAAACAATGAAGTTGGACCCTTTACTTATTCACAGATAGAAATTAACTCTGGAATAGAAATTAACTCTCAATGAGAGAGTGCTTGCCTAGCTTGTCCAAGTGCCTGGGTTCAATATGCAGATTGTATACACACACATACACACACACACACACACAAACTCAAAATGCAAACTATAAAACTTAGAAGAAAACACATTGGCAGCTACATATAGTGATATATGCCTGTAATCCCAGCTACTCAGGAAACTGAAGCAGATGAATGCAAGTTCAAGGTCAACTTGGGAAACTTAGTCAGAGACCCTATCTCACAATAAAATTTTTAAAATGCCTGTCATGTAGCTCAGTGTTAGATTTCTTATTAGCATGTGAGAGATTATAGGTTCAATTCATATTACTAATAATATATATATGTATATATGTATATACATATGCATACATGTATGTATATATTAGATAAACATATTTGTTAGAAAATGTATTGGCAATAATCTTCAGAAAAAAGAATTGACTAATTTTCAATGATATGACACCACAAGCACTTGTCAGACACTATAGATAACAATTGATAAATTTGACCCATCAAAATAATTAACATAAAAACATCTAAACACCAAAGCATACCCACAGAAATGGTGACCTGCAGAATGGGGTAAAAATATTTGCAATACTTGAGCTGGGGTAGAAATCCTCAGCTGTAGAGCACTTGCCTAGTATGTGCAAGAGCCTGGGATTGATCCCAGTTCCCAAAACAAGCAAACAGAAAAGGATCTTGACAACTCAAAAATAATATAAAAGTTGAATCTATTCAGAATTGGGCAAAATATCTCTACAGCCAGTTCCCTGGTAGATATACAAATACCTAAGAAGCACATGAACAGATACTCAACATCATCAGTCATTAGGGAAATGAAAATAAAAGCACAATAAGACTCCATGTTGTACACATGAGGATGGCTACCATTTAGAAAAAAAGAATGTGGAATGAACAATTTCACAAATACATAGAAAATTGCAGCACAGGTGAATTGCTTACCTATGCATACAATGGTGCAGCTGCTATGAAAATAGTAAGGGGGTCCCTCCAAATGCTCAAAAGATACTTTCTGTATAATCCAGTTACTGTATTTCTGGCCATAAACACAACAGTAGTGAAGGCAGGTAAATGCAGAGATGTGCACACCCACATTAATAACAGCATTGTTCCAAAAAGCCAAAAGATATAAGTAACCCAAGTACCCATCAACTGAGGAACACCTCATCAAAATGTGGCTTATATGCCAAAGGAATATTATTCTGAATTAAAAAGGAAGGGCATTCTGTTAGTTGTTACACTATGGATGATCTTGAGGTTACTATACAAAGTGTATAAAGGAAGAGGGACAACTTGCACAACCTGGGGGAGGCCCTTCACAGTGGAAGGGCTGGAGTGGAGCAGGTCACATCCCAAAAGAGCATCAGGTTAGGAAAACATAGGGGCCAGGGGTGTTACTCAGAGGTGGAGTGCATGGTTGAGGCCAGGTTCAATGTCCAACACAAAGAAATGAACAAACAAATAAAAAATATCACAGGACGAAAGTGGTGATGGGAGAGGCCATAGTTGGGGAACACCAGGACCAACCAATTACCAAAACACAGATTTGGACACATGGCTGAGGGAGCCAAAGCCCTCTAAGGTAAAGGAACCCCCAAAAAGAGGGAGAAGGGCAAAGAGCAGGAGGACCAAGAGCCTTTTTCTAATATGGATGGGAAGGGGAGGAGGGAAGGGCAAGAGAGATTAGTAGCCTGGTCAAGGAATGACTAGGGGTGGGGGTTGAACACAGCATAGAGGTGACCCTAGGAGAACCGGGTTAGGGGGAAGACAGGGGTGTTGCTCTGGATGAAGGCAGATGAGAGTGGCTATAGATTGCAAAGGTCCCACCAGAGGGGGCTTGTGACAGGTAGAAGTTGGTGAGGGCTCCAGGCAGGTAGGCAGGGGTGGTGAGGAAAAGGTCCCACAGCAGAGAGGTGCAGTGGGACCAGGGAGAGATAAAGTCCAGCACCTGTAGGGTGGAGAGTAGAGGTATAAAATGGGCAAGGGTTGGATAAAGAAGTGGGCAAGAGACCATCAGGAGGGTGATGCCCACACTGGGAGAAAGAGGGCATGATGCTGAGAACAGCAGGGAGGTCAAGGTATCCTGCACTGTGCTCAGAGCCAATGACTGTCAGCACCAAGACTCCTGCTGGGGAGGTCTCGGAGCAGTGGGATGAAGAGAAGACCCAAGGACAGAAGGCTCCACCAGAAACAGGGTCATCAGGCTGGGAGTGGAGCTCAGTGGCAGAGCAGTTGCCTGGCATGCTTGAGGTCATGGGTTTAATCTCAGCACCACAGAAAAAGAAAAAGGAAAAGGAAAAAACAAAACCAGTTGGGTTTATCAAATTTCTAATTTCATTCAACAACGAAATGGGAAAAAATTTCTAGAATTCATGTGGAACCACAAAAGACCCTGCTGTGGTTTAGATATGAGGTGTCCCCCAAAAATTCATGTGCGAGATAATACAAGAAAGCTTAGATGTGAAATGACTTGGTTATGAGAGTCTTAACCTAACTAGTATTAATCCCAGGTAGGAGCTACAGAGTGGTAACTGTAGGAAGGTAGGTTGTGGCTAGGTAAGGTGGGTCATTGGCAGTATGCCTTTGGGGTACATATTTTGTGTAGTTGGGCGGAGCTCACTCTCTCAGCTTCCTGGTGAAATGTCCTGAGCTGCTTTCCTCCAACTCACTCCTCTTCCATGATGTCCTGCCTTACTTAGGGCCCCAAGGAATGGAGTCAGCCATCTATGGATAGTGACCTCTGAAACTGCAAGTCCCCAAGTAAATTTTTCCTCCTCTAAAATTGTTCTGGTCAGGTCTTTTGTTCACAGCAATCAAAAAGGTGACAAAAATAGACCCCCCCCAAAATCAAAACTGTATTGATCAAAAAGGACAATGCTGGGAATATAATAAAACCAGATTTCAAAATAGATTTTAAAACTACAATAAATAAAGCATCATGGTATTGGCAAGAAAACAAACATGACGACCAATGGAAAGGAACTCAGAAATAAACCCATACATGTACAGTGAATGCATTCTTGACAAAGGTGCCAAGTGTACAGAATATGAAATTGGTATCTCAATAAAAGCTGTTGAAAAAAACAAGCTATTCACAAACATAAGAATGGAAATGGACCTTCATATAAGTCCTTATATGAGAATCAAACTCAAAGTGCATAAAAGATTTAAATGTAAGTCCTGAAGCAGGGTATGGTAGAGCAGGCCTGAGTTCTAGTTACGTGGTAGGTTGAGGCAGGATAAGCACATGAGTTCAAGACCATCCTGAGAAAAAGAGGAAAAACACTTACCAAAACACACACACACACACACACACACACACACACACACACACACCAACTGAAACTACAAAGCTACCAGAAGAAAACATAGGAGCAAAGTCCCTGACATTGGTCTGGATAGAACTTTCTTGGATATGATCCTCAAAGCACAGGCAACAAAAGGAAAAATATACCAATAGAAAAGCATTCAACCAAAGTGTTTCTGCCCCCAAAAGAAAATAATTAAGAAGTGAAAAGAAACTCATACACTGGAAGAAAGTATTTGCAAATCATACATCAGATAAGGGCTACTCCCCAAAATATACAAGGAACACAAAGTTCCCCATAACAAAACAACAAGCAACCCTATTTAAAAATTGCCAAAGAAGTGAGATTCAAGATGGTGCACTAGAGGATGTCTGCATTTCCAGTTTCTCTGGAACTTGGGATGCAAATAGTAGGTGTACTGCTTTTCAGAGAGTTAGGTAAAAGAGGAAATTCACTGAAATTCAATATTAGACAGTCAGAGGCTACTCAAGACTCAGAAATCCTTGTGCATTGAACAAAAATTAAAAATACATTGGAACCAAGTTGGTTGTGGCAGTGGCACTGGCTCACCACAGAGAGGAGGAAAGATACAGAGAAAAACACACTTGGCACAGAAAAACCTGTAGATCAGAAAAACAGCATGTATTTAACTGATCCACTGGCCGCACAGTGAACAGGAGTTTGAAAAGAGTTCTCTGTTTCCTAACTGGCAAGCAGACAGCTGAGACAGGAACCATTCTGAGGAGGCCATGCTGCAGCTTCCTGCTTCCAGAGTCCCGGAGATCCTAACAAATATCTCTATACTGTCCAGATGAGTACCCACAGTATGGCCTGGGTTGTACCTAGAACAATGAGTGAAACAGGCACACACAACACTGTGTGTGTCAGGTTGGGTGGGGGGACTTCAAGTCAGAAATACTGCGAGAATTGCAACTCACTGTCCCATTCAGTCTGGTGGCTCACGTGACCTCCCTGAAGAGGGTTGGGAATCTGAAGGAGGGCATGAGCACACTCAGGGACTAACCCTGGGAAGGCCATATTTGTGGGCAGCTGAGTGTGTGACACCTGTGCAGGGTTGGCTCTCCTGCCCCACAAGTAGAGTTCTTGGGAAGTTCAAGAGATCCAGACTTCCAGCAGAGATCTGCATCTGCCTGGCCATAGAGTGTGTTGACCTAATCTCTCCAGAGCAAATACCATCCAACCAAGTTCCAAAGGCTTCAAGCCGCAGCCACCAGATCTCCCCAATTGGAACTCTGTAGCAGGCTAGACTCTAGGAGTGCATCAATCTGGTCTGTGAGAGAAAACTCCAGTCAACAGTCCTTCCCATTCCATCACCCCTTACACTGGTAAGAAGCTGAGAGCTATTTCAACCAGCTTCAGTTTTAGACCATTCCTGTTGGCAACTTTTGAGAGCAATAGAAAAAGAGGAAGGGGTTAACAACTCCCAGAGCTTGGTCTCCATCTCTCATATAGCCCAAAAGAGGAAAATTCTTTTACTTATCATAAAATGTTGTATCCTTTTTTGGTGTTTTTATTGTGCTGAATATTTCATGAATATATATATACCTATATATATTGGTTTACATTTTTTTTCTCATTTTTAGCATTTTTTTTAACACTACTTATTTTCCCTTGTCTTTGAGAACTAAAATGTTATTTTTTTATGTTTTGGTTTTGTTTTATTTTAATTTGTTTATTTCCCTTGTTCTCTTTTTCTCCTTTCTTTTCCCACTAACAGCCAAATTCTCTTTCTCTCTCCCTTTACTTTTCTATTTTCTGGCATCCTTCTTTACAGCCATCACTTGCTACATCTCTTCTGTATTCACTCTGCTTACATTTTGAACATTCTAAACATTCCTTTACTATCCTATTTTCTTCTCTCTCTCTCTCTCTCTGTCTCTGTCTCTGTCTCTCTCTCTCTCT